GGCAACACGACAGAGTCACATGTAGGCCTGTTTGAGCCTTTGGGTCAAATTCATCCCTGGCACAAACTTTGGAGGGCCGTGGCCCAGGTTTTCCATAGAGTAAAGTGTGGGATGTTGGATCCTGCCCTTCCAGGCTTTCTGGGAATGTCCATGCTGCAATAAAGGACCTGGGGCAGCTGATTTGGGCTCACGGGGCTTGGGCTGTGGGCTAACAACTGCAATGTACATTGGGAAGGGCAATCTAGAGCAGTGAGTGGGTTGCATGAGTGGCCTCCTTCATCTCTGTGGCTGCAAGATTGTCGGCCCCAAGACAGTCTCCCAGGACAGGGCAGCTTTGCTCACTGCATTTGCGTCCCTAGAATTCGTGGGCTGTGCTGATTAAACCACAGCAGCGCTCTGATTGGCTGCGGAGGGAGCGCCCGGCTCTCACAATCAGTGTGGTGCACAATCAGCACCCACCTCCCTTCATGTGCGTGTGACTGTAGTAACCCCGGCAGGGAAACAAACCGCTCAGACGGAAACCAGCAGAATCGGGCCACCCTGCGCATGGGCACCCGTAACAAAATGTCTCGCAGGCCGCACCCACAACCCCAGTGGGCTGCAGGCGGCCCTCGGGGCGCAGGTTGCCCACCACTGATGTAGATGTTTAGGCCGGCCACCGGGCTCTGAAACCCCGTGAAGGGGGAGGATCTCAGGGCTTGGGCGCCCGCCCCAACCCGAGTGTCTCCCTTGCACTTGTCAGCCCCACAGCGCACGTCCAAGTCAGCTGAGCTGAGCTCTGAGACTTGGCGCCGGGGGTTTCGGTGCGGACCTACCCTTTGAGGCCCCCTTCAGAGAGCTGAGGGTCAGGCCTGGGTGTTCCCTGAAGCTCCCACTGCTGGGCTTCCCTGCGTCCCCGGTGGCAGGCCAGGGGGTGCTGGGGAATTGCTCTGACTGTTGGGTCCTGGGGCGGACAGTGCCAAGGCCTGTGCTGTCCCCAGTGGCTGGCCAGGGGCCTGTCC